GGCTGCATCCTCGGTGCCCCGTGGAGTCGTCAGCCATCTTCTGTCGCTCTGTCCGTCTGCATGGGCGAGGGGGACGAGGGCCGGGTGTGGAGAGAGCTGCTCTGGGCGTGCGTGCGTGGATGTGTGTGTGCGCCCGGGAGAGCGCGCCAGCCCCGGCGCCCAGCGCCTCCCGCGAGCCAAGCTGAGCCGGGGGCGGGCCGGGGGCCGGCGCGGGAGGAGGGAAGGGAGGGGACCCGGGAGGAAGCGGGCCGGAGTGGGGGAGCGGTGGGGGGGGCTAGGACAGCCCCCCCGGCTCCCGAGCGGGCGTGGCTTCCACCGTCACCGTGTACGCTGATGCTGCGCGGCTCTGGGGGCTGCTCGCGGCCGCCTGTTCCTCCTCCGCGGACACAGGCGGGACGCGGCGCCCCTCGCGGTCGCCTCCCCTTCGCGACCTCCCGGATCGGCACCCCATTCGGTCCCCTGCCCCCTGGGCCATCGCTCGCGCTTGGACCCCAGCCCTATGCGATGTGGGTTCCAGAGGGTTTGGAGCTGTGTTTTGAGTTCGTCCTAGAAGCTGCTGAGGAAAATGAATGGGGGTAGGGAAGGAGGTTGGACCGCGGGAGGGCACCGGGACCTGAGTTCGCAGCAAGAGTAGGCTGCTCCCCCCTCCCCGCCCCCAGCCACTCCGGTGAACGCAGACAGCTCGCCGCCTCTGGATTGCAGCGCCGGGGTCTCGGGAAAGGGAGCTAGGAAACCACAGTCCTGACCTCCCCTCCGCTACTGGGCTAGAGTGTCCTCCTCCGAGGGCCACCGCGGCGCGCGCAAAGGCTGAAGGGCCCTTGGAGAGGTCCCCCGCCCAGCACGGCAGGCCTCAGCGCCGCGCGGACTGTCACTGCACTGGCAAGGAATCTTTCGACTTGTTTGCTTCCCAATGAACAATTTAGAAGTAGGGCACTTCGACCTCCAGCCCCTGTTCTTGCTGTTTGTTATTGTCATTTGCCCCCTGTTGGTTCTTTCTCGCCCTCTCTCTCTTTCACACACACACGCGCGCGCGCGCGCGCGTTCCGCCACAAAGTATAAATGTACTCCCTGGCCCCGCGTGTACTCTTCTCCGGTACCCTGGGTTTATCCTCAAAAAGGTTGGGCTGAGTAAGTGCGGCCGTGAGAGCAGAGTCCCTTGTAGGGTTCCCGCTCTCCGGGAGCTGGACACCTCGTCACGCCCAGGAGGGACCCTCCGGACGCCGCCCGGTTGCGCTCTTTCAGCTCCTTCCCCGCCCGCGCCTGCTCTTCCGGAGCTGTGCTTTTTACCCCTGCGCTCACGCGACCCCTGTTTGGCCCTCTTGTGAACAAGGCCAAGCTCGGATTGCTTCTGTCCCTCTGGGTTGAGGCACTAGCGTGAACGGTTGGGTCAGGCTTCCGTGAGACACGCGGCCCTGAACTCGTACATCCTGCCAGGACACATTGGCGTTCCCCGTTTAGCTTTCCCGCGCCGCAACTCTTCGCGCTCACCTGACAAACGCGGTATGGGGGTGTCCATTGTTCTGCAGCTCATTATTATGGAGTGTTCACTATGACAGTGGTGGGACTTAAAATTACATTTTTATTTTTTTTAAGTACTTAAGAGAATGAATTCAATGTGGAGATATAAGTTAAGCTTTCCATTAAAATCTCAGTTTGGCCTGTCAAACGAGGCTCATTCTGGGTATTTCATTGCCTAATTTGCATCTTAGCATTGTTTTGTTCCTTAAACATCAAAATAGAGATATTTTCGGCGTGTTCCCAGGAAGGCTGAGCACCTCCACATTGCCTGTTTTGCATTTTAGCATTATATTGTTTCGTAAACGCCAAATTACAAATGCCTGGGAGTTTACTCTGGAGAGCTGAGCACAACCTCTCGCCTTTTCCCTGACAGAGGAAGCAAGAAGAAATTGTACCTCGCTTCGGTACAGAACCCAGAGCCTGCGACGACCAAGCCTGGCTCAGCGCCTGCCAGGCGTCGGCGCAGTACACCTGCGCTAAGGTAGTTTCTACCGCAGTTAGCTGGGACGCCGAAAAGTCCATGGACCAGGAATTAATGAGATTTCAAACAACTCTGTGAAGTATTAGCAAAAAAACAAACCCAATGCCATGAAGTGGATTCCTACTCAAAGCGACCATATAGGACAGAGTAGAACTGTCCCCCAGGGTTTCCAAGGCTGTAAATCTTTTCTGAATCATCCTGCCTCATCTTTCTCCCTCTTCAGCAGTATGTTGCGGTTGTTGTTATGTGCCCTAGAGTCAGACCCGACTCATAGAGACCCCTCCTTGGGTTTCCGAGGCGATATGACTACGGAAGTAGATTACCGCATCTTCCTTCCGAGGAGTGGCTGGTAGGTTTGCACCGCCAGCCTTCTGGTTAGCAATCAAGTGCCTTAGGCAGTCTGTTGTTGTTGTTGTTTTGTGCCGTCGAGTCAGCCCTGACTCATAGCGACCCCTCCTTGGGTTTCCGAGGCAGTATCACTACGGAAGTAGGATTGCCCAACCTTCCTTCCGAGGAGTGGCTGGTGGGTTTGAACCGCCAGCCTTCTGGTTAGCAGTCAAGTGCCTTAGCCACTATGCTACCAGGCAGTCTAGGCATCCTCTATTGGAGATTTTTCCCAGTATCCTCAGGGAGCGCCCTGGTACGATCGATGGATTGTGAGCTGTAGGCCCTTGGGATGGGTCTCACAACTTACAGTATTCACTGCGGACTTCAACGACCCACACCACAAGGCTGCGGAGAGAAGCCCAAACCTTTTTGCACTAACACTCCCCCCACACACATTCGTGGAACGACAACACATTTCCAAGGGTGTGAAGGTGGGTGTATTTCGTGGTGGGGATTGCTACCCTAATGCTGTTGCTGGCAACTAGAGAAGAAGAGGAGCCTTTTGTAAAAATCTGAGTATCATTCAAAATATCTGATAAATAATACATGAATTGGAAATAGTTTTATCCTCTTGGTTTTTAATGAGGGGAAAAGTTTTTTTTTTTTATTTTTTAATATTCTAAAATTGTGGAAGCGTATGTTGTAAACTGTACACAAAAAGAAGCTTCTCGTCTTTTGGAAACATATTTAAGTTCCCTCTGTTTCTTTGGTGCCAGAACCATTACAATTGATGCACTGTTTTTCAGCCACTATCAAATAACATGTTATATACCCCAAGTCCTAAGATACAGTTTCACATGTTAAGAATAAAATAAACAGAAAAGGTGAAGTGTAGCCCAGAGTTATATTTAGATGCAGCTATACTTCCTTTAAAGAAATTTACTTACTCTGAGATGGTCCAGGCATTTAAAAAACAAAATAATACATTAGTCAGCCACCTGTTCTTTCAAGGCATATGTCCTCCAGAGCACTGAGGTGAGAACATTGTGTTAGAATCCACAATGAATGTCTTTAGTGACAGAATGAAAGTTCATAAAATATGTGTGAAGAAAGCTTTTAGTCTAAAATGAACTTTGAACTAATGATTACACATTGTTAATGGCTCTGAGTTTTTTCAAATGTTCTATAGATGAAGACAATTATAAGAAAAGTTGCTGTCTTACGCATTTTAACATACCATAAGGAGGGGTCGCTATGAGTCGGGTCCGACTGCATGGCACCTAACAACAAAAACAACAACAACAACAAATAAGTCAAATAATGTTCCCCAGGTAATTTCATACAGTCTGTAAGAGCCTAACTCTAAGTGAGTAGGAACAATTTTATATGTATCTTGGAACAGTCACCTATCTGCTCCCCAACCACCAGCTCACACACACACACATACACACTTACTTTGTTGGTACAGTTGACAAAGAGCCTGAAGTCAAAATATTGTTGTTAGCTGCTTTTGAGTCAGCCCTCGACCCAGGCTGACCTCGTGCGCATAAGGAAAAACTGCCTGATCCTTCACTATCTTCGTGATCTGTTGCAGATTGAACTATTGTGACCCACAGGGCTTTCTTGGTTGATTTTTGGTAATAGATTGCCAGGACTTTCTTCCTAGTCTAACCTGGACACTCCACTGAAACTTCTTCAGCATCATAGTAACACACAAACCCCCACTGAGAGACAGGCACTCATAAAATCTCTCATATTGCAACACAAGGCTTAAGAGTTCGTTCAGCTTGAGAAATGCAGAGCACGTTCTTCCTTTTTGGTTTTCTAACTCCAGGTCTTTGCACATTTCCTTGTAATTCTTTATTTGGTCATCTTTAGCTGATCTTTGAAATCTTCTGTTCAGCACTTTTACTTCTTCATTTCTTCCATTTGCTTTAGGTATTTTACATTTGAGAGCAAGTTAGAGAGTCTCTTCTTTTTGTTTATTTATTGTAATTTGGGTGAAAGTTTACTGAGCAAATTCATTTTCCATACAGTCGTTCACATACACTTTGTCTCATGACATTGACTACAATTTACCACAGTGCAACAGCTCCCCTCCCACTTCCTCCCCATAGTTACCTCTTCCTTGTGTCCTTCCCTCCATGTACTCCTGCCCCCTGAACTGTCTCCCTGTGTATGCACAGCCCTTCTATCCTCCCATGATTGTTCTCTCCA